GCGGTGGTCCGGCGAGGTTCCTGCGGTGGTCCGGCGGCTGTCGAGGAGGAACTCCTTCCTTCTCTTCTCTTCTTCTCTCTCTTGCTTGGATCCTCTCTTGTGAAGAATGAGGGCTCTATTTATAGATTTTATGGAGTGGCATGGCCCGTAAATAGGCGTGAGATCAGGGGCGAATAGGGAGTGGTCAAATGGACGGCCGATATTGAATCCTACGACCGTGCACCGTTCGTTGGCCATTTGGAGGCCTTAATGATGTCGGAATTCAGCGATCTTGGGCTCGTTGGATTCGTCTCGTCGAGCCGTTCGATTCGAGTATAAGCTTGTAAAAATCGGAGACCGTTTGGTAACTCAAATTGCTGTTTGAACCTTTTGACAGCACTTTGAGCCCTTGATTCGGACTCATTTGGGCTCGGATTGGGTTGATCTTGGTGTCATTGAGTTCGTATTCCCGAGACGCTCAGTTTGACTATAAGCTCGCTGAAATTGGGGTTCAGGTGCTCCCGGATTTAATTTTAGAAGTCTCCAACTAGCTTTTGCCTCGAGATTCGTGCCCGATCAAGCTAATTTTGTGATGACGTATCAGTGGTCAACAAATTTTTGAAATATATGAGAGTCCTCATGAGTATTTTAACATTTTCTGAAAATAATCTATACGAAAACATAATTATTAAACATATTTTTTTAATTTAATTATCATTTCAAAAATAAAATAATAAAATAGGAAAATGTCTTTTTTTATTTTTGTGAACTACTAATCCTGACAGAGATCAAAGCAAAAAGGGGAGGAAGAAAGTTTAATGTAATTGTATATTATATCCAAATTTTTTTTATCAAATAAGTATGCCAACTGTTCAAGTTTTTTTTTTTTTTTTTTCAATTGTAATTTAAATCATATATCCCTTATTTTTATAGGATCTGTTTGTTTGGGATGAATGTAATTTTTTAAAAATGATTGTGAAATTATTGTAATTAAAAAAACTAGCTTTCTAGTATAAAAAAATTTTATACTAAAAAATAATAATAAAATGTTCAATACGAAGTCTTAATAAATTTTGTCACAAAAAGCAGCTTTCTTTTAAAAAAAATTTTAAAAGCAGTTTGTTGTGGTCCAATATTCACTGGTGTTCAAACTGAAAAATAATTGAGGTATTAAAAAAAAAAAAAAGACAACAAGTGAAGAATCACCAGCCAATATTATCTCACGAATTTAGGGACGGCTTTCTTACTGATTCTTAAAGCAACTTTTTAGTATAAAAAATTTAATGTTGTACTAGAAAGCTGTTTTAAGAAGCAGTAAAAAAGTCGTCCCAAACGAAGCCTCGAAGCCGAATTTTTTACTGCTTTCTAAAACGGAGTTTTAGTACAAAATTTTTTATTTTTTTACTAAAACTCCGTTTTAGAAAGCAATAAAAAAATCGTCCCAAAGAAAGCCAAAGTCTGTACATATCCTGTTGTCACTTTCCCTATTGATGTATTCCTATTGATGTATCATGTCGACTATTCCAATAAATATTTGGGACCATTTAATTCCTACAGATTGGAGTTATGGAATTTATACATTATTAGGGTCACTATCTACAATACCAAAAAATTAAGGGAATGTCCATTTCTCCAATAGAAAATTTGTTTGCAATTTAATGTTTTATTTAGCTTCTTCTTTGTAACATAATTGTAACAGTTCAAGAACCATATATGTTTTTTAGACAATAATGACATGCATGAAAAAAAAAAAAATCTTTCTTAGCTTTTTGTTGACCAAATTTGTAAGTTATTGTGATTAGTTATAGCACTATAAATGAATTAAATGAGTTGATTTTTGGCTCAAATCTAGTGATTGTTGAAGTCATTGAGAAGGGTATCTGGTTAAGGCTAGCTTGAATTATATGTCAAATGAGATGAGTTTGGATTAGGGGTGTCAAAATCTGATTCGACTCGAAAATTCGGGTTCGAGTAAACCCATTTACTATTCGTGTGTCGTCTGGCGTCCGCATTTAGTCGAGTGCAAATGCAGTCATTGCTACCAGCCTGCCACAGTGCAGTGTCTCAACTGCCGCCCGCAGTGCAACGGTAGGTCCTAGACCCCCACCCGCAGGCCGCACGACGCTGCCTCAACCCGAGTTAGCCTCACCTGTCGTCGTGCCAACTGCCGCCTCAACACGAGCTGACTTCCCCTGTCGCATCCGGCTTTGCAGGTCAGGTCGGGTCAACTTGATAACCCGCACAGGTCTTATCCGGATTGGATATTCTGGCCCGTATGCAAAATCAGGTCAGGTTCAGGCCGACCCGTTTAGACCCATGTCAACTCAACTTTGACCCAAACCCGACCTGCCGACCCATTTTGACACCCCTAATTTGAATTCGATCAAGTTAAATTTATTTGAATTAATATGTATGTATCTAAGTATATAAGTCGGAGTATGAACGTATCTTATGAAAAGAAAAATTTCTTCAATCAAGATCGAATAAAATCAACCCATAATTTGATTTGTGATTTGATTAATAATTTATGGAAACATTAATTACCCCCAAACAAAATATGAATTAAATCTTTTTGAAGTTCCTTTATGTAGAAAAAAAAGCATAGATTCAAAACTTATGACCCTCTCATTGGTAGTTTAGTATTGTCAAATTTAATGCATATGCTACTTGGTGCAATATATGCCCACATGACAATTGATTTGCAACTAGCAAACATTATGCCAAGTTTAAAGGTGGGGTATGGCTGAGACTTGGACAGATATTTCTATCAATACCAACCTACCTAACCTACCACTTTGGTTTTTAAAGTATATTGATTAAATTCATATCAAGGAATGCTTGGATGATGTGTTTTCATATCTGTTCTTCTATGAAATTAAATATATTATATGCTATATATGGAGAGAAATATCTTTCTAGGCTTCCTCTTGATCTACAAAAGCATAATAGAAATGAGTGATAAAATGAGCATTTGGGGTCCTATTTATAGATAGGGTTGAGGCACCTTT